GTTCCCTAACATAGTTGTAAGGAATCATCCCCACTCGTCCATCACAATTAACTGCTCTATACCAGTTGATACCCTAAAGAAAACAGACAAGAGACAGAATTAACGATATCCGTCAGATAAACGCAAATTGAAATTACCTTACATCTTTAAGATCTCTTCCCATATATTTAAATGTTATTGATTATATAATGACTGACATTCACTGACCCGAGACCTCAGTAACCAAATAATCTGACGACTGGTCTACTCAGCTAATAGAGCGCCGAGTAACGGTGAAGGAGATTAAGGTTCGAGTCTCGGAGAGTACGTATGAACATCATTAATGCTCTATCCTTCTGTAGACGCCTGTTAGACAGACTTGTCCGTAAGCCCAGTAAATACAATTCCTTTCCACTCATAGATTTAACTTGCTGACTGATACGACTAAACAAACAAACTGAAACCACATTTTCATTATGTCATTCACTCGGCAGCCATGCTATTCCCCAACCTTCCGAGAAATTTTTAACCCGAGCAAGGTGAGTCTCGCCTGAAATTAATACTTTAAATGATCTAACTCACAAACAAGAGGAAGCACGAAAATATACCTTTATCAACGTGAGTTCCATAAGCTATCACAACGCACAAAACAGTCCGGGAAATGCAAAACAGTTTTGCAAGGTTTTTATATACCCTTACCTTAGTAACCCCTTCAATGACGAGAACTTCTCCCTTTCTAAACGACAATTCCTAAATAAAAAAATAGATCTGTCAGCCCTTTTATCCCAGCAGTGGTTTGTTTCCATATTTACCTCATATCCTGGTACATTTAGTAAAGTTTCTTTCAAACGCATGAATGAAATTATGGTCTTTGAAGAACTAGCTAATTAGCTTTGTCCCTTTTTGTTCATAAACGAAAAGTAGCTACAATACAAATTGAAAATGGTGGGCTCAGTTCAGTTCGGCCAGTCATTATTTCTTTGTTAAAAATCATAGTGAACTGATGAAACACAGTCTCAAAGAGGCTCTCCTTTGTGTAAATGACGGATTAATTTTGTGCGTTCTAACTTGCAAAGGAAAAATAAACAAATGTTGAGTAATCAGCCAGCATTGTAAGATCACCACTCCCTCAAATACGGGTCAATTTTTTGTAAAATAATTCAAACGATTACCTCTGTATTTTCTTCCTCGAAATCATACATTCCAACCACTTTAGTTCCAGGTGACCACTTTAACCTCTGAATAGATGAATGCAACATAAAAAGTTTACACCTAATTGAAGACGTGTTCTCTCGTGACAAGTATAAACAATGAACGATACGATCGAATTTCTACAAATTGCTTTTATTGTATGAACAAATGTTTATCATCTAGTTCAGTACAAAATTTATGAAATAAAAAGCCTCCTCTGTAAGTGTTATGGGAGGGGGAATAGATCTTATTTCTGTGATTACCAAGCTGTATCAGCCGTTGCATAAAAAAATTCGGTTGTGTTAGAATAGCTGACTTATTTAAGCAGGCAGATATTTTTCTGGCATTTTATCGTGTTCCTAGTACCAGATAAAAACCGAAAATCAAGTCATTATTGAAATGCATCCAGTGCTTGGACATATCAACACCGTCAGATGAACTCTATCAATTAGATATATTACTCTTCAACCCCAAAGTATACCAGGATACCTCCCTTTGGTCACCATGATTTTTCACAACGACAGGTAAGATAACCACTTACTTACCGCAGCAGCATTTTTTTCTGGTGCAGCATTTTTTTCTGGTGCAGCAATTTTTTCTGGTGCAGCATTTTTTTCTGGTGCAGCGTTTTTTTCTGCTGGAAACAGCTGAAAAGGAAGAAATGAAACTCCGTTTGCTTCTGAAAATTTATCATTACCAATTCGAGTCTCTAGCAGACTCGCTCAGGTACCTCGCATCCAAAAGTAAAGACGTAGTTACTGGCCTCTGAAACAATTATACAAACGAAGCAACATGTATTACCTTCCACGCCCTTAAGGGTTCATATTAAAGTGCAGATAAGGTTTAAGTATATTTTGGACTGATGTACGTTCCACCTAAAATTAATAACAAGCTTACAGCCTAAAAATTCGCAAAGTATAATGATAGCATAGCAGTTATTTAGAAGAGGGCGGACCCAGTTTGGTATAAGCAATAATGAAATGCGCTTAATACAATTAAGCAAATATCAAATGGGTAAACAATTCAAACGCGAGTACACACGGAACAGTTCACCATATCAATTAGGGTGATCGCTCCGGATTTTTTCAAAAAGTATAAACCAAGAACGGTGCGATCGAGTTGCTACAAAATTGCCTTTATTGTATGAAAAAATGTTTATCATCTTGACAAGTACAAAATTGATGAGATAAAATGGGAAAAATCTCATTTCTGTGATTACCAAGTTGCATTTGCCGTTTAATAAACAAATTGATGGTGATAGAATAACTGACTTATCTAAGAAGGTAGACATTTTTCGGTGTTCCTAAAACCAGGTAAAAAATTGAAAATCAAGTCACTATTAAAAAGCGTCCAGTGCTTGGACGTATTAACACCGTCAGATGAACTCTAGCAAGTAGATATAAACAGATATATTACTCTTCAACCTTTATGTATACCAGAATACCTCCCTTTAGTCACCATGACTTTTCACAATGACAGGTAAGATAACCTCTAACTTAACACAACAGCATTTTTTTTTGATGCAGCATTTTTTCCTGGTCTAAATGGCTGTTTTAAAAAAAAAAATCCTGTTCGCCTCTGAAAAATTTAGCGCTGTCTTTTTAAAATTTATTATTGCCAATTCAATTCTCTAGCAGACTCTCTCTGATACCTCGCATCCAAAGATAACACATATTTACTGACCTCTGAAACAATGACACAAACGAAACAATATGTGTGTATTACTTTCCACCCTCATAAGGGTTCTTATTTTAAAGTGCCGATAGGGTTAAAGAGTATTTTGGATTAATATGCCTCCCAGCTAATATTAATAACAAGCTTAAAGTCTAAAATTCGCAAAGCGTAATAATGGCATTGTTATTTTAAGCGATGATTTTGCTTCAGATTTTGTGCAGTGTCTAGGAGACGAGGAGGAGAGGGCGGACCCAGCAACGAGAAAAGAATATTCAAATACTGAAATTCTAGGCGGGGGCTGGTTAGATTGCGTAACTGAAATGAATATTAAAATTTCAACTTAAAATTAAGCTCATAACATTACGGTAATTACCAAATAGACCAAGATAACTAATAACTAGTTCTACTTGGCCGAAAAAAAACGAAAAAAAAACGAAACACGTAACAGTTTACTACATTAATTAGAGTGATCGCTCTGGACTTTGTTTTATTGGAAGGTAGGGCCTAATTAGATCGTTATAGTTGAAACAAACGTTAAAGGTTGCATTGTAAATTAAGCTTTTAACATTGTAGGTAATCAAAACTTAGTATATATTAAACCAGCGGATGGCGTTGAAGGGGCACTCTGATTGGCTACTTAAACTCCGAATAACCCTTCTTATTCAATTCGGCGCAACTCGCGCGGGATTTGCGCCCAAAAATATTGTAATCGTTGCAGAAATAAATTAATCAATGTCATCTTTTTGTGCAACATTATTTCATTGTTCAGGTTTTTACTAAAACAACTATTCATCTTAGTGTCGGTGGCCAACGGTGGATATTTACCGGGACATTTCGCAGCTCGGTTAACATCCATCACTAGTCACCTCAAATTCGGTGAATGGTTGTTACACATACAAAGACAGATTCCTATCTTTAGCATTAACGAATCACAACCTCAAAGAAACAAAATCGACCCGAGTCTTTCCAAACTTCCAAAGTTTGGGCTGTGGTTGTTTTGAAAAGCGGTTAGGTATATGCAATAATAAAATTGGCTATTCGCTCTAAATTTTGAGTTATTATCATAGTTAACTGATTTTAAGAAAACCCCATACTTTTGCCGTAGTTCCCCACCTGAAAATCGCAAAAAAGTTATACAGATGTAAATGCGCGCTTTGTGAACAGAAAGTTACCTACTTCTTCGTAAAGATCCTCCTGTACAGATTCTGGTACCTGTGGAGACAATTAAGCCAAAGTCAAATGGGTAAACAAATCAAACTCGAGTACACGGAACAGTTCACCGTATTTTAATTAAAATTAGGCTGATCGCTACGGATTTTGATATATTAGAAGGCTCACTTTTTTCTTCTTCCACTTCATAAAGCAAAGACACACACCGTTGCCCTCATCATAGAGTGCTTTTCGATTGATTTTTATGAAACCAAAACCAAATTTATTACAACAGCCAAACAGTACATTGGAAATTATTACAGGGAGCCAATGAGAATACAAATGAAACAAATGAATTGTCTCGAGCGCCAAAAAATAGAACTTTACCTTCTTCAGATTCTCGCTAATTCGGGGTAATTTTTGAGAAGAAATCTTTGTTACAAATAACAACACACCCGCATAAGATAATGGCAAACAAATTTTATCCAACTTTAGTAAATAATTGAATGACAAACCTGTTCTTCGTCGTTTGACGGATTCGATTCCTTGGTTTTCTTCGCTCGCCGGAACAGACGGCGAAACTTTGAAGCCATTTGCAACTTACAAATGCTTTGGATTGCTTCTTGAAAATCATGAATTCAAGCGGTGCCTCTCCTGGTAAATAAAATACATCAATAAAAGAAATACCTCTTTTACTTACCGGGGAAATCTTGGCTGAAATGCTGTAATGAAAAGCAATTGAAAATCTCTTTTAATGGAACGCATTAGAAAGGAAGATGAACCAACACGACGTCAAATTGCACTATGCTTGGCCTACGAATAATCTCGCACTTCTTTGTACTTAGGGATATTATTAGAAACTGAAGTGAAAAAATTCGCACGGTACGCACCACATGAGTTGTAGCGGTGTGTAATATCGCGAATTTCAAGAAATTCTAGGCCAACTAGAGCGTTTATCATTCGATCGGTCTTTTCGTTGGCTGAGAGCTCGCCGAGTGACTTTTGTGTAAAGCTGAAGGGACAAAAAT